TTTTTAATACATCATCTGCGCGTTAGCAACAACATAAGCTGTTTATCGACATAAAAAGCTGATCCTAAAGTTTAAATTGCGGCACCGTTTGTTCTTAACGTTTTCAACGTGCTCACTTAACGTGTTTACAAACTGAAACAATGTACAAATCTAATACTACGTCACGTAGTATGAGATCCTTTGTTGTCTCATTAATCGTCCACAAAATGGGAGGAGGGGAGGGGGGCGTTTATTTTAAATTTCGGCCGATAGGAGGGGCGCTTATTCGAGGTTGGAAGGGGGTGCTAATTCGAGGATTTACGGTAACTTGACCAGAATCGTTGAGGATCAATTTCTGCACTCAAATCTGAATGCATGGTTATTGGATACACGTGACCGAGAACAGTGGTGATTCTCACCAATTCCTGGAGCTTATTTGAGAACCTCATGGATAAATGAGTTCATGTTTGTTTTGATCCTGTAGTAGACTAGAATGCAGTTTCGTTTTCTTCTGGAAGAACGCATCCTTCTTTATTTGCAGCTTTTTCCAAAACAGCGACGTTCTCCTTGAGCTCCTCCATCAAAGGCAGCAAATTACTATATCCGGTGATGTTTGAATCTTCGTATGCAAGTCGCAAGGCTTTAATGGTATTTTCCATCTTCTGAATTGCAGTCTCCTCTTCTTGTTGTTTGCGTGGTCTCCTGATTTCTTGAAGTGCGTCTTCCATTTGCTTGATGAGAATCAATGGCTCGCAGTTCTGGATTTCTCGTTCATCGCTCTTTTGAGCTCCATCACATATCAGATTTAAAAGCTTGTCCACTGATGAATCGTATCTGGCAATGAGCACAGAGATTCCACCTTTTTCCCCCTGTGGTAAAGTAAAGTAAATGTTTCTCATGTGTGTTTGACTATTTCTATGTAAACTCACCTACTGCAGTTATCGATGTAAAATCATGTGTAGTAAGGGAACTGGAGATAATTTTAACGCCTTTAAAGTTACTTAGTCAAAGGTTTACTTCCAGGAAAAAATAAACAGAAGTCGCTTGATTAGTACCTTGTTACATCACACACTTCCATTTTTATAATTACCCACTGCAATCCTCTCCAGTTACCAAGGTGTAAGTGAGATGGGCGCATTAATTAGGGTAGGTATGATGCTACCACTGTATATGTATTTTCTTACTGATCTCCTTAAATTTATTCGCAACTACACTTGAGATAATTCAGGTATATGTCTTATATATTGAGAAAATACCTTTTTGGTGATCAATTGTTTGAATCTGATAAGCTGAAAAGTAGAAGTTTAGCTCTTGACGTGCGAACTATACAAACTTACGGCTCTAAAAGATATAGCATTGTCGGTGCTTCTAGTATATTCTCACCTTCAGTGAAGACATTTCAAATTCTTTGTTTGACTGGTCGTCATTTTTGTCGCCTTTTTCGAGCATTTGCTTGTCGAGGCTGTCTGCATTCCCTTGCGCATCTGCTTGTTGTTCTTGAGCAGTTTCCACAGCGGGATCAGCCACGCTTAAATGAGGTTGTGATGAATCGCCGATTGATGTAGCATAGTCGGTGGTATTTTCTGGAGCTGGACTTGCGTTGGTTATTCCTTCATCACTGGTGTCAAGTGCGGCGTTCTCCAACTGATAAACCACCTGTGATTAAAAATGGAAATAATGGAAAAATTATAATGTTGTTGATACCACTGCGAAAAGAAAAAACAGACTGTGTTGTTAAGGGTTGAATAAGTAAAGTCAAATTACATGGAAGAAAAGTTTTCTGTTCATGTTCATGATCATGTGCTAGCCATCGTTTATTTACTTTTCATGAGTGTCTCTTATCCCGTTCTCTCTGCAAAAAATGCCCCGAAAGCCTTTACAGACCTTTGCAAATGTTCACACCCGCATTTGGATCCAGACTCATCCTTTAAATTATGTGTAAAATATGTTTACCTCGGGGTTCACGGTTACGTCGTTCCCAGGCTGCTGTACCTCCATTTCTAGCTCAGTCTCTTTTTTCTTCTGGGCTTCCCGTCTTTTCTGTTCGACCCGATACTTTCCACGGTGATGACGGATCAACAGTATAACAATGAACAGCAACACCAGAAGAGCGGCCCCACTAAAACCAAGTGTAAGAGCGAGCGGGAATGCCTTCGGCTCCGCTAAATATATATAAATACTAAATTCGATAAGATGGCCAGAGTTTAGACTACGAGTAGTCCCTCTTTCACTTAGTCCGTCGAGCGTGATGNGTCGTCTTTTTCGAGCATTTGCTTTTCGAGGCTGTCTGTATTCCCTTGCACATCTGCTTGTTGTTCTTGAGCAGTTTCCTCAGTGGGATCAGCCACGCTTAAAAGAGGTTGTGATGAATCGTCAATTGATGTAGCATAGTCGGTGGTATTTTCTGGAGCTGGACTTGCCTTGGTTATTCCTTTATCACTGGTGTCAAGTGCGGCGTTCTCCAACAGATAAACCGCCTGCGATTAAAAATGGAAATAGTGGAAAAGTATAATGTTGTTAATACCACTGCGAAAAGAAAAAACAGACTGTGTTGTTAAGGGTTGTATAAGTAAAGTCAAATTACACGGAAGAAAAGGTGAAAATTTTAAAAAAAGAAAACAACTTATAGACAACATATTAAGTTTCTGTTCATGTTCATGATCATGTGCTAGTCATCGTTTATCTATTCATGAATGTCTCTTATCCTGTTCTTTCTGCAAAAAATGCCCGGAAAGCAAGGTTTCCTGTTGAAGTGTAAAGCTGAAGGTCTTTATAGACCTTTGCAAATGTTCACACCCACATTTGGATCCAGACTCATGCTTTAAATTGTGTGTAAAATATGTTTACCTCGGGATTCATGGTTACGTCATTGCCAGGTTGCTGTACCTCCATTTCTAGCTCAGTCTCTTTTTTCTTCTGGGCTTTCTGTCTTTTCTGTTCACCCTGATACTTTCCACAGTGATGACGGATCAACAGTTTAACAATAAACAGCAACACCAGAAGAGCGGCCCCACTACAACCGAGTACAAGAGCGAGCGGGAATGCCTTCGGCTCCGCTAAATATACATAAATACTAAATTCGATAAGATGGCCACAGTTTAGACTACGAGTAGTCCCTCTTTTGCTTAGTCCGTCGTGCGTGACGTGAAAGAAAATCACGAGAAAAATATGGCCACGCAAAATCCCCGGGGCGAGAGGCGAGAAGTGCTTTGCCCCGAAGATTTCGCACGGCTAATTTTTCTCGTGATTTTCTTTCATGTCATGCACAACAGACTAAGCGAAAGAGAGACTACTTGTTGTCTAGTCAGAGTTCATAACCATTGAGCTATATCGGAGTATTCCATTAAATAATTTCTTTCGGGCGTGATTGTTCTAAACACGTCACATGGCTGAATATGCTCCAGCCTTGAAAACTGCAGAGTAATATTTGAAGGGTAATAAACACAATAGTCTCTATTTGGCACGAAAATATGCTCGGATATTTGCCCTTGGACATTATCTGTTAACTTTCCTCAAAGTTCACAGTTTTCCGAGAGAGTAGCTCGTGAAAAACTGTTTGCTTCTGGAAACAGATAACGTCCGTGGACAAATGTCCGAGCTTATTTTCCCCAAATGGAGACTTTTCCTACAAGAAAAAGATCTCATCGATCACCCCCGCTATGGAGCTGGTAAGCACCTTTTAAGAACGTGTACCTGCAATCTGGAGGTAACTTGCACTTCATGATCTCACTTCGTTTATCGCATTTAGGTTTCGAGGCCACAAATCTAGTTTCCCTACCACCCCCCGGCACCCCCTCTCCCCCAACCCTGCACGGACGCACACATGACCTGTCGTAAGCATCTGCTTTAAATGCCAGCGTATCAATTTACCTAGATATCCTAAATGACCTACATTCATCCCCATTGAACAAAAAAGTGCCGAGAATAGTTAGACTTACCTTCAGAAGTGCTTTTTCCTGGACATAAGGTAGTTCTGGCTTCATACTTGTCATGGCCTCCAAGTGGCACATTATTTATGGAAGGGTAAAAGTAGATCAATTCCTTTTCCGCGCCTGTGCAGCTAAGAATATAAACATCTCCATCTACGTTAGACCGCAGAGTCGTAGAACACTCAAGAAACTTCATGAACTGCAATGTATCTTGCGGAGTATACTGAACCGATATTCTTGCATTTTTCTTGCTATCTTTTTCATTGACTCTGATGTAATTTCTGAAACGGTCTCTTAGGACCACCATGAAAGTAAACGCTCCTTTTCTAGTGTTATCTTTTTCCACATCCTCGACAGAACTTTTTATGGCATCAATTGGATCTAAAATGCAAAATTATAATTGATTAATGTCTGACGCTTTCGATACTGATGAGACTTTATTTCATCATTGGCGATCCCTAAGGACCTTCTAGTTAGCACAGGTGATCGAATAAATGCTGTGTAAAAGAGGATTTATGATACCAGTCTATGAATGTTAGAAAATTATCCCAACTTAAACGAACCTTTAGGTGATTGCAATATGAAAGAATTTTCAAATATCACGAATACTGTAGATCCTCAATGACCGAGCTTTCATACGATTAGTCATTTATTATGTGATTGAGAAAAGTTACGAACATCCTCATATAAATTTGCGCCATTAATTAATGATAAATATAACTGATCTCAGCCAATCACAATGAAGTAATTTTCACAGTCCTGTTTGCTTTCTACACTTTGTGTATGAGCAGCAGTTGTCAGTATTTCTCTTAAATTATTCTTCACGGGTCGGGGTGGNTATCAATTTACCTAGATATCCTAAATGACCTACATTCATCCCCATTGAACAAAAAAGTGCCGAGGATAGTTAGACTTACCTTCAGAAGTGCTTTTTCCTGGACATAAGGTAGTTCTGGCTTCATACTTGTCATGGCCTCCAAGTGGCACATTATTTATGGAAGGGTAAAAGTAGATCAATTCCTTTTCCGCGCCTGTGCAGCTAAGAATATAAACATCTCCATCTACGTTAGACCGCAGAGTCGTAGAACACTCAAGAAACTTCATGAACTGCAATGTATCTTGCGGAGTATACTGAACCGATATTCTTGCATTTTTCTTGCTATCTTTTTCATTGACTCTGATGTAATTTCTGAAACGGTCTCTTAGGACCACCATGAAAGTAAACGCTCCTTTTCTAGTGTTATCTTTTTCCACATCCTCGACAGAACTTTTTATGGCATCAATTGGATCTAAAATGCAAAATTATAATTGATTAATGTCTGACGCTTTCGATACTGATGAGACTTTATTTCATCATTGGCGATCCCTAAGGACCTTCTAGTTAGCACAGGTGATCGAATAAATGCTGTGTAAAAGAGGATTTATGATACCAGTCTATGAATGTTAGAAAATTATCCCAACTTAANTAACTGGGGGACACTGTAAATAAATAAACAAATATTTCAAATATAACATAAACTATTCAGAATCCCAACTGGTAGGAGGCTGACCAGTTGGCTATTTACACAACGCGGTCGAGGAGTTGAACTTGGGGCAAGTGGCCGCAACTGAGAACAAATCCAGATAGCAGTAGGGTGGAGGATTTGAAGCAGAAACCTCCAGATTTCACCCTAAACCACTCGGCCACGCCACCTCCACTGATAGGCACATGGTTGAAATAACAGAGGACTTCTTTATATAATTAAGACGCAAGCAAATTAGTTGACATTGCAACAAGTATAAGCCTGAAATGATGTATCTGTATAAAAAGATATAATACTGAATTTATCACATGGATGTTAATTAAGTTGCATTAATTTCATCTAGCTGTAGCTAATTTATTTCTATGCTGATGTAATTCAATGTTGCTGTTTTAATAAAATCTTTAGTTGATAAAACATCAGATTGTAGTGAAGTAAAAATAGGATTACAGCCGAGTAGATTGAACAACAACAACAACAACAAAAGAGCGTCTAGTAATTAAAGCAATTGAGTAAATCAAGTGAAATGGTTTCAGTACTTAGTCATCACCTAGTTTCAGTTCAAGCCTTCAAAAGATTTCAGTTTAGTTACAAATTCCACAAACACCTCAACCAAAAGATAGGAAACATACATTAGATTAGTAGGATAAAAGCGTAAGAATTGGTGAGTGTTCCGTCGAATATTGAAACGATCTTAACTCTTACAAACGTGACTCCAATTTCAGACTGCATTCAAAGACAGCAATAACAGTATTTATACAAGTAAATATTTATTCGAACAATTTTTGTCCCTAGCGCTAACATAACAAAATGTATCTTTCGAATATTTTTGACCAAGGAAAACACGGCAATCTATGGTGATGATAAAAAGCGATTGCAACTCCTCTTGAGGATAATTTAAAAACATCCGGATCATGTTGAATCAGACAATTTCCGACTAAAAACGCATCTTTACTTAAATCTAATGTCACTTGATTTGTTTGTGTTTATTGCCGCGCGTGCAGCCGCTAAACTATAAGAGGCCACTGTAAAACTGTAAAACCGTCTTCTATCAAGAGTTGCATAAGCTTGTTTCAAAGCCAGCCACCTGCACATTTAAGGTGAAATGTAGTTATTGTGACAATACGCATTATTGTAGGTTGTTTTACAAAGTCTTCCTATTTGGTTTTATATTATATAAACAAATGAATCTTGGCTAAACTATAACAACTATTTATACCCACCATGAAAGTAGAGAGGCTTTTTTGCCTTGAACAGCTTGCCATCGACATTAAGATGAACAGACACTCTGTCGACATTTCTCATCGGAGGCGTGTCACAAAAGATAAAATCATCTTCAATTCTGGCCGGCACGGAGATGTCTTTGAATCGACATTGAATTTTTCTGTTTGATGTCACATTCAGTTCTCCGTTGGTTTTGAGTGTCAGGGTTGTGGTTGCTCTTATAGGAACAACCGCTGGCTGGAACGCTTGTATTTCTAACTGTGAAGCTGGAAAGTGATACAACAGCTTTAGCATGAATTTACAAGGGAAATTAATACATTTCAATATATATAAAAAAATGAAATAAAACTAAATAAAATAAAGTGGTCCAGAGAACTTTATTCAGTAAAAATATGAAAATTATACCAATATTATATTTATTGAAAGAAAATGGGAAGAAATCCTCGCCTACCCTAAATATCTTTTTTTAACTACTTTATATACTGCGTTATTCTGTAATTGTGCAAAATCTGCAAAAGTGTAAAATAACAAATTATATAATTATACCTAAATAAAATCAGTTTCTGAGGGTACTTAAGCAATCTGCAGATTGCATACAAAAGGTGGGCTTCTTTGAATTGGGTGAGAGGTACAGAACAGTCAAGTCAAATGTACTTTGAAGATTGAGAGCAGTCCAACAACATGATTTATAAAAACCTATGAGAACCACGTAGTTTTTTACTTGGTGCATCAACGTATGTACAGTAGGTGTTGTCGCTTTAACTCAACCATGGGCCCGTCAAATCTCTAGGATTTTGATTGGTTGATTTAAGTTAATCTCAGTGCGCTTTGTCATGCAATCTCAACTTATCGACAATAGTGTAGATGGGACAACGCACATAGGAGTGTTGTGAAATAAAATGTGTGCTACAAAAATCGTTATTACATCTTGCCAAAAAAAAGACATTTCAGTTTTTAAAAGAATTGCTTCTGGAAGGTGAAGACAAATTGCAACTTATTTATACTGTGGACTACAAAACAATCTCTGAGCTCGGGCAACGGGATCTTCAGGCAAAGGGCAAGTCAGCGAGCAAATACATCTCTCGGCTTATGGCCTTGCATAGGAAGCGCATGATATCTATTAGCCTGCGAGCAGTCTCTCGTAGTTTGGGCCGAGGACTCGAGCAGCAAGACGATCGTAAACTCGCTCACGCACCAAAGCGAAAAGTCAGATAGCAGCACTTGAGTGCGAAACGCAAACATTAGAGCCCTCTCGCATGCTAGATATCTATATTAGGCCTACTCGGGGACCTTAAGTCACCTAAAGTAAACTTAAGTCGCCTTAAGTCGCCTTAAGTCGCCCTGAGTCGCCTAAAGTCGCCTTAAGTTGCTGTCGGTTACGCTATGTAAAAAGGCTTCAACACACTCAAATTGCCCCTGTAGAAGGTTATTAGACTTATAACTGTCATGTTAGGGTNAGTGTAGATGGGACAACGCACATAGGAGTGTTGTGAAATAAAATGTGTGCTACAAAAATCGTTATTACATCTTGCCAAAAAAAAGACATTTCAGTTTTTAAAAGAATCGCTTCTGGAAGGTGAAGACAAATTGCAACTTATTTATACTGTGGACTACAAAACAATCTCTGCATGCATCTCTCGGCTTATGGCTTTGCATAGGAAGCGTATGATATCTATTAGCCTGCGAGCAGTCTCTCATAGTTTGGGCCGAGGACTCGAGTGGCAAGACGATCGTAAACTCGCTCACGCGCCAAAGCGAAAAGTCAAATAGCAGCACTTGAGTGCGAAACGCAAACATTAGAGCCTTCTCGCATGCTAGATATCTATATTAGGCTTACTCGGGGACCTTAAGTCACCTAAAGTAAACTTAAGTCGCCTTAAGTCACCTTAAGTCGCCTTAAGTCGCCCTGAGTCGCCTTAAGTTGCTGTTGGTTACGCTATGTTAAAAAGGCTTCAACACACTCAAATTGCCCCTGTAGAAGGTTATTAGACTTATAACTGTCATGTTAGGGTAAACTCCACTCGAACCCTATGGAGGAGGAGGCACGATGGCCCAATGGTTGGTGCAATGGAC